TGCTGCTTGGCCTGCTGTGTTTATCCAGCTCTACACCTTGTTATCTCAGATTCTCCAGCATCTGCAGTTCCTGCTATCTCTGAAACAATATTACGGAGGTGACAGTTTTGACACAGATGTGAGTTCGAAACTCCTGGGAATTAGGAACAGGAGTAGGCCCTACTGCCATTCAAGTCTGCTGCGCTATTCAATAAAATCATGGCTGATTGGATTGTGGTCTCAACTCCATATGATTGCCTACCCTTAATAATCTTTGATTTTTCTAATTAGTCAGGAATCTAACCACGTCTCCTATCAAAACATTCGATGATTCTACCTCCACCGCTCTCTGGGAAAGGGAGTTCAAAACACTCACGACCTGAGAGAAAATATTTCTCCTCATTCATTATATTTTGCAACTCTGTTCCCTAGTTCTGGCCTTTCTCATTAGGCATAATGTTCTGTCAGCATCTACCCTGTTTAAGTCGCCCCACGATCGCCCCAATAACATCACCCCCCCGCCATGCTTCTAATTTGTAATGGATACAGGACCAGACTGTCCATCTTTTTCACAACAAGACAATTCCAAATCCACTTTCCTAGTAATCAGTTGAATTACTTCTTTGAGCTGTCTCTAATGTATTTGTATTCCTCCTTCATCAAGACTGCACAATATCTCAGACATGGTCTCACCAATGCCCTGTACAATTGAAACAAAACTTCCCTTTCTATTCCTAATTCTTCTTGCATTAAACAAAAATATTCCAAAGCCTTTGCTATAGCTGCACTGTAATGTTTTGTGATTTATTTAGCAGGACACCCAGATTCATCTGTATCTGAGTTCTGCAATGCATCTCTATCTAAAGTCTTTGCTACTTTTTTACTCTTCCTTCTAAAGTGAACAAGTTCACATTTTCCCACATTATACCAAATTTATCCCATTTTTCACCCACTTACCTAACCTATTTCAATCTCTTTATAGATTCCTTATGGCCTCTTCACAAACTGGCCTTCTTACCTACATTTGCTTCATCTGCAAGTTTTGTAACTGTAGATTTGGTGCCTTCATTCTTCATTGATATGGGTTGTAAATAGTTGTGGGACCAGCACTGATCCCTATGCCACTTCCTGCCAATCTGAAAATGACCAATTTGTGTTCCCCCTCTGTTTCCAGTTACTTAACTATTTCTCTGTCCACGCTAATGTATTATCAGTGCACCCCGTGTTGTTATTTTGTGTACCAACCTTTGATGTGTTAAAATGCCTTCTAGGAAAAAAAAAGTCTAAGTAGACCACAGTCACAGGTTTCCCTTAGAACCCCTACAGTGTGGAAGCATGCCATCTGGTCCACACTGACTCTCCAAAGAGCACCTCATCCAGACCCTACTTCCCATGCCTAATCCACCTAGCCCACATATCCCTGGACAACTTAGCATGGCCAATCCACTTAATCTGCACATCTTTGGACTGTGGAAGGAAACCAGAGCACCCTGATGAGACCCATGCAGACACGGAGAATGTGCAAACCCTACACAGACAGTTGCCTGAGGGTGGAATCAAACCCAGGACCTTGGTGCTGTGAAGCAGCAGTGCTAACCACTGGGCCACCCCCTTTACCCACATTGCTTGCTACTTCCCCAAAGAATTCCAATAAGTTAGTCAAACATGATTTTGCTTTCACAAGAACATGGAGAAAGGGAGAAGCCAGTTGTTTACAGTCAGTCAGCCCAACATCAGTGGCAAAAAACGTAGTGTGTCGAATTCTGTGTAAATTTTTGTTTCAGAAGGTGCAGATTACAAGGACAGTCAGTGGGAACATGTCTTACAGAATTGATGGAATCTTTCAAGGAAGTTACAGGAAGCTCAATGAGGATAGTGTATTTGATATAATCTGTAAAGATCTTGAGCAGTTCCAAATTATGGGTTGGTGAGAAAAGTAAGATTCCATGGGATCCCAGGGAAAGCAGCCTGTTAGGTCCAAGATTGTCTCAGTAATGGGAAGTAAAGGGTATTGGTCAGTGGGTGTTTCTTGTGATCGGAAGGCTGTTTTGGGTGGGGTCGCGCAGATTTCAGTACTGGGTCCCTCACTGTTCATGGTTTATATCAATCATTTAGACTTAACTATAAGAGGGCATAATTGAGAGGTTTTAAGATGATGCACAATTTGGGCATATGGGTTGACAATGAAAGGTGTAGACTGCAGGAAGATGTCAACAGACTTGCGGTTTTCTCTAACTGACGTGGGCTATAGATGCACCCTAACCAGGGCCTGAACCGAGAATCCTTTAATCCCCTTAGAATCCTCATGGGACACTTCCCTTGTGATGTAATGAAGAGATGTTTAAATATAGGATTAAAAACCGAAAGAACTGTGGATGCTGGAAATAAGAAACAAGAACAGAAATTGCTGGAAAAGCTCAGCAGGTCTGGCAGCATCTGTGAAGAGAAAGCAGAGTTAACGTTTAGGTCCAGTGACCCTTCCTCTGAACTAATGGTAGCTATGAAAATGTTTTTATGCAGAAGATAGGCTGGAGGAGTGGTTAAGGAGTAAACGATAGGTGGAGAGAGAGAGAGAGAGAGAACAGTTGGGCAGACAAAGGAGTGTATAATGCTCAGCCTGGGAGAATGAATGGCTGTTATTAATGGCTAACAATGGGTTGTGTGTAATAGCAAACCATGTGATAACAAGGCCTGATGTGTGGGGTTGGGCTAAGGACTTGGGAGAAGGTGCCTCAAGCCCTAAAAGTGTTGAACTCAATATTGAGTCCAGAGGATGTAGAATTCCCAAGTGGAAAATGAGATGCTATTCTTCCAGATTGCGCTGTGCTTCATTGGAGCACTAACAGCAAGCCTGAGACAGGTATGTTGGCCAGGGAACAGGGTGGTGTGTTAAAGAGGCAACTTTTTACTCTTTACTCCTCCCCACAACCTATCTTCTGTGTATGAACCAACATTTTCCTAACCACCATCAGTTCTGAGAAAGGGTTACAGGACCCAAAACATTGGGTGAGATTGTGTGTAGGAATTACTCTTTAATCATTGGAAATCTCAGATTGAGAGGATTGAAGCTCAATAACTTATGAAACAAAACTCTAAGGAGCAGTGAATTTAGAGTCTGGGTGTCAGGACTCTGGATTGCTCCTTGGTACTGCAGGAAGATTCATTTAAATAAGTGCATTTCTATGTTTGATTTCCCTTCTCTACAGATTCAGGATGCATTCGTCAAAGTCCACTCTGGAATCACTGGCAGTGAGTAAACATAGAAAGAAACTTTTATCGAATCTGTAGGGTCATCATCTCCTCCAGAACCCTCTCTCTTAGCAATCCATCAAAATCAATGGAAATAATAATCTGATAAGCCCTTTCGTATTATCACTGTGACCGTATTGTAACTAGTGGAGTGTCACAGGGATCAGTGCTGGGGCCACGAAGATGATAGCCAAGTTTACTGATGACGTAAAAATAGGGAGAAGGACAAAAGCTAGCATTCAAGTTCAGTAGGTCATAGGGAAGACAAATTTGGCCTTTATTTGAAAGGGAAATCTGAAAGTAGGAAGGTTCTGTGAAACCATATGAGGCAGTAGTTAGATCACAGCTGGAATACTGTGAACAAGTTTAGGCCCCTTACCTAAGGAAAGGTATACTGGCATTGGAGGTAGTCCAGAGAAGGTTCACGAGGATGATCCCGGGTTTGGAGGGACTGCCTTAAGGAGAAATTGAGTAGGTTGTGCCTGTACTCAGAATTTAGAAAAATGAGAGGAGACCTTATTGAAACATAGAAGATTCTTGAGGACCTTAACAGGGTGGACGTGGAAAAGTTGTCTCCTATTTGTGGGACAGTCTGGGACTAGAGGGCACAATTTAAGAATAAAGGATCACGCATGTTAAGAAGAGATGAGGAGGAATTTCTTCTATAATGGGATATTGAATCTACGGGATTCTTTACCATAGAGGATAGTTGAAGCTGGGCCAGTAAGTACATCCAAGGCTGCGAGACACATTTTTTAATCATGATGTGGAGGTGCGGGTGTTGGACTGAGGTGGAAGAAGTCTGAAGAAAGGTCTAGGCCCAAAATATCAGCTTTCCTGCTCCTCTGCTGCTTGGCCTGCTGTGTTCATCCAGCTCTACACCTTGTTATCTCAGAAGTCACATGACACCAGGTTATAGTCCAACTGGTTTATTTGAAATCACAAGCTTTTGGAGCACTGCTCCTTCAGGTGAAGTGGCTCGATGAAAGCTTGTGATTTCAAATAATCCTGTTGGACTATAACCTGGTGTCGTGTGACTTCTGACTTTTTAATCATTAAGGGAATCGAGGGTTATGGGAAAATGCAGGAAAGTGGAGTTGAGGTTTTTCAGATCAGCCACGATCTCAGTGAATGGCACAGCAGACTCAAGGGGCTGAATGGCCTACTTCTGTCCTACCTCTTACGGTTTTAGTGGTGTAGGTTCTTTCAAGAAAACCTTAGCCAAACAAAATATCAGACACTCGGTTACAGGAGTACTGCACTGTTGGTGAAGTGCCCATTTCCTCTTAGACTCCCTTCCATTCTCAGCCATTGTTTGTATCACTCAATGAGAATGACGGGTACCCCACAGCCCTCAAGCATCATGTGATAGGTTTCTTTCCCTCCAGCCTGTCCCCAAGTTATCATTCGGGAGCTGACACTTTAGCCTCCACTTGGGAATTAAAGCTTTCATGTCTCTTTTGAGACAGACAAAGCAAGGCTGATGTCTAATGCAGAATTGGTTTCCCTAGGAACAGCCCAACTGTCAGTCAGCAGGGGCTGTAACTGCAGGGTGTGACAAACAGGAGATTGGCAAAACCAATCACTGCTTCTCAAAGTCTAGCGTTCATATTCAGTCAAATCGAAACGAGGCCAAAGACCAGACAGTGACAGGGCAGGGCTGGGCCGAATGGTGACAGGGCAGGGGTAGGCCGGACGGTGATGGTGACAGGGCACGGGTAGGCTGGACGGTGACAAGTCAAGAGTTGGATCATGTGTTGGACTAGCATCATGCTGTTTAAATGTTGTAGATGACATTGTGAATTGAGACCCTCCATAATGCAGGCCAGCAGGTGGTAGCAGTGCATTACTGAGACTATGAATGGTTTGATGTTGTCTCATATTTAGAACCTGATCTGACAGATCCCTGTACTCTTTCAGCTGATTCCTCTCCAAACTCCAATGAAGGCTCTGCTGCACTTTACTGTCATGCCAATTATCAATGGTAAGTGTTGCACTCTGAGTAACAATGGTCAGTATTCATACTGTCAACACAGTGTCGATTCTCAGTGTCATGGCTAACTACCGGTGGAGTGTGTACAAACTGTAACAATACGTTGGTAGTTTATAGACTTGCTGCCTCTCAGTTGGACAAGATGAAACAATGATTGCGCTGCAAGGGTAGTTGGTAGTTGTGGACCTGCTCAGACAGTGGATATCTGCTTCAAACTCTTTTATAATGTCCCCTGCACTTGTACAAAGTCCCAAGTATAACCAGAGCAGCTAGTGAAGGTGTATAAACAAGCAGGTTCCCTTCACTGTACTGTGTCTCTATAAAGCACACTGGTTAATAAATGGCCCATATTCGGTGGAGTATCGAACAATGTAATCACACAATCATAGAATCCCTACAGTGCAGAAAGAGGCTCTTCAGCCCATTGAGAGCTCCAGAGAGCATCCCACTCAGACCCACCCCCACCCTGTGACCCTGCATTTCCCACGGCTAACCCACCTAGCCTGCACATCCCTGGACACTAGGAACAATTTAACGTGGCTGATCCACCTAACCTGCACATCTTTGGACTGTGGGAGAAAATCGGAGCACCCAGAAGAAACCTATGCAGATACGGGGAGAACATATGGACTCCACACAATAGCTGGTCCCACCATTGTCCCTCTGATATTCCCATCTGTGTGGATACATATTCCAGGAGATCACTGCAGAGTACGGAGAGCAGAGAATCTCTATATTTTTCCACTTTGAAGAACTCCTGTCCTGGGGCTTCCTGAAGAATTTTATACTGAGCCTAGAGTAGTCTTGCTAGTGGCTAACCCCAAAGGCAAACTAGAACATTCAGAGCCCAAGATTCAGTATTGCAGAACCTTTTTGGATTGAATCAAAGGATCATAGAATGATTACAATACTGCAGCAGGCCATTTGGCCCATTAAATCTGTACGAGCTCTCTGGGAGAGCAATCCCATGTCTCTGTCATTTCCCATCTTCCTGCAGATCTTTCTTTTTAGGATAATTCTCCACTTCCCCCTTTGTCAGCCATGATTTAACTCCAGACCATTGGCACAGACGGTCCCCTGGAAAGTATAACAATGTGTGTCCTGTTCCCAACAGTCAGGGGTATGTAAGTAATGCGGACGTGCAAATACAGTGTCCAGTACATGAATTGGCAATCAGCCTGTTTTTATTTCACTCTCTGTTTAGCACGGACGCTGGAAGGAGTGCAGATCCCTCTCCCAGAAGGAATTGACCTGATCAATGAGACGATGAGAAACCATATGGTGGGTAGCCTGAATCCTCCAGTATGCTAACTATTTCTTGAATCTTCACCAGATTCGGTAAAGTCTGATTTGGAACAGTCAGAATCATCAAGATGTACAGCATGGAAACAGATTCGACTCGTCCATGCTGACCAGATATTCTACATTAGTCCCCTAGTCCTAGTCCCATTTGCCAGCATTTGACCCATATCCCTCTAAACCCTTCCTATTCATCTACCCATCCAGCTGTCTGTTAAATGTTGTAACTGTACCAGCTTCCACCACTTCCTCTGGCAGCTCATTCCATACACGCACCACCCGCTACATGAAAAGGTTCCCCTTTTGGTCACTATTAAATCTTTCCCCTCTCACCTTAAACCTATGCCGTCTAGTTTTGGACTCCCCTACCCTGGGGAAAAGACCTTGCCGATTCACCCTATCCATGCCCCTCGTGATTTTATAAACCTCTATAAGGTCACCCCTCAGCCTCCAACGCACCAGGAAAAATAACCCCAGCCTATTCAGCCTCTCCCTACAGCTCAAACCCTACACCTCTGGCAAAGTTTCACAACATCTTTCTATGTTCTGTCACCTTAGGCCTGATCTACATGTTGATTACTCTGTATCTAGTCCCATACAATACCCTAAGCTGTCCAGTACTCCATACATATTATTATAAAGTAGGTGCTGTATTAAAGGCCGTGCTAAAGGCCACACTAGTGTGTAGATGGACTGCTGTAGCTTCCATAGAGTTTAATACCAATCCCCGATCTGTCAATAAAAACCCTGTTTATAAACTGGGTCAGGCGAGGCGTGGGGAGTACAGGGTGGAAGGACGAAGGGTGCGGATATGGAGGGGCTGTGGAAAGTTAAGCAGGTGGACGTGTGGTTAGGCTGGGCATTGGGGAAAAGGGTACAGGCTGAGGGATGTTTTTTTCTGGGGAAGCTGTGGTAAGCCGAGTCCTGTTCGATAAAACCCACAAGGACAGCTGGAAAGGCATTTCTCTCTTTCTCTGCTCCAGTTAGTTTCTGAGTTCTTAACACCAGTGAGGCATGGCCAGTCAATGTGGCATTTAAAACTGCTCCAATAGGTCAGGGGCACAGCCTTCTGATTGTAGGTAAATCACTGGCCCCTAGAGAGTCAGGTGGTCACCATCTCCAACCTAGCACCTTCCTTCATTACAACTGATGCTGGAGTTAGGTTCTTGATTTTTAAACATTTTTTGTTGACCAGACTAAGTTTTTTTGTACAGGGATTAATTGCTCTTTGTAATTCCCAGGGCTTTCTGTCGATTGGAGCGGACTTACATTTTTACAAAGGCCTGAGGGAGGTTATTAATATGAATAAGCAGATACTCTCTTCAAGCAATACAACTGTCAGTAACTAGGCTCCACATTTGAGAAGAATGGAGACCTCCACAGAGGGTGCAAAGACCCTCAGCTCTATTATTACTTAATCATTACTCTTGTATTTTATTAACCTAACACTGGCCTGTAGATCTGTTCGCTTTGTCTTAACAAGTCTTGGGGGTGATTTTTCCCTTGCCTTGGACAAGTGTGGAGACAAACAGCTCAAGCCTTTATTGCACACTGGACAAGAATCCAAGTGTAAGGTGTTGATTATTTATTATTATCTTCTGATTGGGTTTCATCTTCATAAATCGATGAGCTGCTCTCACTTAACACTGCAGCACACCTTACAATGTTAACACCATCTCCAAACCCCGAACTCACCCTCAGGTACAGTAGACACAGAGTAAAAGGCCACATTTCAGTTAGGTGACAGTCTAGGGTTCCTACATCAACATTTCATCACGATGCCAGGAAAATTACCATATTACAATGGGGCTGGTGAAACATGTGGCTACAGCTCTCATCAAGCATAAAACCAACCTTGTAAGTCTCAGTGTTAAATAGATTACATTAAAATTCACATCAAGAGACTCTGTAAGAACACTCACTGTATAAATGATGCAAAATACGCCCTCTTTGGTATGCACATTGTGATCCTTAGCTGTATGTTCAAGGTCATATTTTAATACTGAATATTACAGACAGCTAGAACTTAGTTGACTAATTAAAACAATGACCTCCTAACACAGGTATATGTCGAATTATTAGACCTGATTTCTAGTGTGTGGGCCTGAAGGCATTGCTTCATTCACAGTCTGTTGTTAATGGAAACATAACTTAGTGAACAATACTTACCAGAAGCTCTGCCTCAATCAGCCGTGCATGAAATCCCTGAGCCAGCTCAGTTTCCCCTACAGAAGGATATCTTTCTCTGGAAACTTTCAGGTCGGGGAGAAGATGGCTTGATCCTTGATAGTCAACTCTGTGTTAAATATCACTGGTGTGGATTTTGATCATGAATAGAACCACTGAAGTTCCACAGTGAATTCTAGTCTCCTGCTATAACTCCAGGAATTGGGGAAAACCCACTTCCGTATAATTACCAGGCCATACTGAACAATGTGCCACACATACATATGCACTTTTCCTTAATCAATGAGAAAAGGCAAGAACCAAGCAGAACTTTGTTTGGCCAATATGTTTTCCCTTGTTCATTTTTGGCCTTTTAATTCATTTTGAATTCATTTCTTTCCTGCATTTTTCATTTCTCAACGTGAAGGATGTCAGGACAACAGAATCATTCCCACTTTGGGGACCCACATCAGCTCCAGCAACTATGTGTCATTGTTCCAGTTCCCACAACAACCATCATTTGCCATCACTCTGAGTGAGATTTCGTGCCAACTGAAGCACCAGAGTCAGGCTTAACCCTACTGAAACCCATAACATGTAGAACACACAAACAGCCAACATATAGCAGAAACTTTCATCAAATTGAGGTCACAAAGATCAAGGACCATCTTCAGCCCTTGCTTGACTGGGGGAGTGGTATGCAGTGATGTTAAATGGATGCGTTGTACATTCTATGTAATGGATACTTACAGGTAGAATATTACATCATCTTAATGATGCTGGTAATACCACACCAACAGATAATTCTGTAATGTTTCTGAATAAGTTATTCCAAATACTAGTTGTATGGAAAGCCATTCTAAGTGTATTCGGTATAGTAGTAAACCATTTAGTATTACAGTGTGTGTTAATTGCACATGGTGGTGTAACCTACGTGTTTGGATGCAGACGTTTCGTCACCCTGCTAGGTAACATTGTCAGTATGCCCCCGGTAAAGACAGAGGTACACTGATGATGTTACCTAGCAGGGTGACAAAACGTCTGCATTCAAACACACTGGCTCGGCAAGCAAGTCTACAACCTCGTCCACAACCCGAGCTACAAATCTTCTCAAAAATGGGGTAACCAACTCCTATATATTCACACACTTGTGTATTTCTTCCAATGAACAATTGTATCATTAGCTGTTTAATAAAGACAGTTGTATTGTCAGAAATCATGCCTTGTTTTGTGAATATTAGAACCAGAGTCAAGGGCTTCAGCCAATATTCTCTGTCTACCGCAATGTGTGTAACATTCAGTGGGAATATATATTTTATTCAATAATTTAATACAGGCCTTGTGGAAATGCAGCAATACTTATTGTAGCCACACCACTGCAATCACTGTTTTATACAGGGAGTCAGCACAAGGCAAAGTTAAATAGGAACACATCTTCAAACAGACAATTCTTACATCTCACAATGTTAGACTGTTGGCTCAGTTGGTAAAGCATAAGCCTCTTACTCATAGGGTCATGAGTTGAAATTCATGCTGGGTGCACTTGTTTTGATTTCTTTTCACAATTGAGGCTGGGTCATTTCGAGTAGTCAAGGCTGACACAACAGATTTTGATCATTAAGTGAATCCTGATAAAGGCAGGAAAGTGAAGTCGAGGATTATCAAATTAGCTACAATCTCATTGAATTGCAGAAGGGACTCGATGGGCCAAATGGCCTACTTCTGCTCCTCCACCTTAAAGTCATAGGGTCTGTCTTCATGTTATACAACTCTTCGGTCCAACTCGTCCATGCTGTCCAGACACCCTAAATTAATCTAGTCCCGTTTGCCAACATTTAGCCCATATCCCTCTAACCCCTTCCTGTTCATATACCCATACAGATGCCTTTTAAATGCTGTAATTGTACCAGCCTCCACCACTGCCTCTGGCAGCTCATTACATTCATGTCCTACTGTCTGTGTGAAAATGTTACCCCTCAAGTTGCTTTTAAATCTTTCCTCTCTCACCTTAAACATATGCCCTCTAGTTTTGGAGTCCCCTATCCTGGGAAAAAAGCCTTGGCTATTCACCCTATCCATGCCCCTCATGATTTTATAAACCTCTATAAGGTCACCCCTCAGCCTCCAATGCTCCAGGGAAAAAAGCCCCAGCCTATTCGGCCTCTCCCTATAGCTCAAATCCTCCAACTCCGAGTAAATCCTTCTAAATCTTTTCTGAACCCTTTCAAGTTTCACAACATCTTTCCTATAGCAGGGAGACCAGAATTGAGTGCAGTATTCCAAAAGTGGTCTAACCAATGTCCTGTACAGCCACAACATTACCTCCCAACTCCTATACTCAATGCACTGACCAATAAAGGCAAGCATCCCAAACACCACCTTCACTACCATGTCTACCTGCAAGTGCACCTTCAAGGAACCATTATGAACCTGCATTCATGATCTCTTTGGTCGGCAACACTCCCAGGACCTTACCATTAAGTGTGTAAGTCCTGACCTGATTTGTCTCATGAAGCATTTTCAATGCAGCCAGCAGCTTGAACCCTAAAGAATAAAAGCAAAATACTGTGGATGCTGGAAATCTGAAACAGACACAAAGAATGCTGCAGAAACTCAGCAGATCTGGCAGCATGAGTGGTGAGAGATACAGATTTAATGTTCCTACTCCAGTATCACTCTTCTTCAGTACAGGACATTGTCCTGAAGAGGAGTCATACTGGACTCAAAACGTTTATTCTGTTTCTCTCTCCACCGATGCTTCCAGTTCTGCTGCATTTCTCTAACATTCTCCGGTATTGAATACTAAAAAAGATGGTTTGTTAGGACTCTTTTACTGTGTCATACTGTAATTGAGTACTGACTGTCACTGTCATACTATTATCATCATCAGCTGATTTGGGCACGAAATTGTGAATTTCTGCCACTGTTTTCGATGAGACTGAAAAGTCTCACCAATGGGCCTTTGGTCATATGGAGCAGGATATCCCATGAGGCAGTGGGATCCTGGGGAGGGTGGTGAGGTCACATCCTTTTTTGGTGCCACTCTGCCTCCTCCTTAAAGCACCATAACTCAAAACCTGATGCAGCTCAACGGAAAAGTCGCCGCCGTTTCAAACCATTGGTCGCGAGTCCCTTTTGGTAATTAATGTCAAAGCTGCCCAGCTTCAAGGAGACCTCCAAAGTGTTTTTGAAGGTCTTTCTTTGCTCTCTCTGGAATGCTGGACATTCGAGAGTTGAAGAAACAAGACCTAGCAGAGGAGACAGCTTTCAGTCAGCTGGACACTGCATCCAGTCAAAATGGACCGTGTGCGAGTTTTGCCTGAATTCTTTGGGAGCAATCTTCAAGAAGGATAATTGCATTTGTTTGACAGTCCTCACAGTTTTCCATCAAGACAATGTTTCATACTGACACCAGAGGGTAGTTGCTTTTTGATGAGGTGAATAGTCACTGTCAGATGGTATGAGGGTTATCACACACCCTTGTTTGACCCTGGTCTGGATTTTGAAGTTGGCTATTTCAGATCTCCCACTCAAGACATTTGCAGTTGAAGCAATTGCAGAATTGTGCTGAAATTTCATGGACATCTTAAATCCTTGGGGCACAATCAAGAGAGCCTCGTGGTTTACTGAGTCAATGTTTTTGGATGCTATGGAGAGTTTGTGGTGTTGTCATTTCTTGATGTTCTGCTTTGGATTTATCTGGGAATGAAGACCACTTCAGGGATTCCTCAGGAAGATCCAAACCACACCAAGTCTCTGGGAGGAATTCCTCAGTCGCAGGAAGAAGGCAACTCAGGAGAATGTGGATCATGTTTTACCTGTGACAAAATTCCTCAAAGAGTTTCCACAGCACAACTATCTCCGGTTTTGAAGATAGTTACAATTGCTGCATTCTTAGAGTGGATTTGATTTCCTTCCAAATCTGCAGGCTGAGTGCATGAATTCTAGCATGAACATAAACCCACCGGTGTAACTGACCCTAGCTGGAGCACCATTGGAGTTGAAGGCTTTATGAATATATGAACAAGAGTAGGCCATTCAGCCCTTTGAACCTACTGCACCATTCAATAAAATCATGCCTCATCTGATCTTAATCTCACGCTTGAAGAGTTGCTCAAAATCTTCTTTCCAGCGTTGACAGATGACAGAGGAGAAACACCATCTTGTGAGTGAAAAGGATTTTGTTAATTTGACCCTGGTCTCTAAGAGACCTCGTGGCTTCAGAAAGCATGTCACGATGATCAGCATATTGTTGAATCTCTCAGGCTTTCTCTCCCCTCCCCTTGCACTTTATCATTTGGATTATCTTTGGGAATCACACACACCATTCAGAGTGAAATGTTAAACACAACTCTGAGTCCAGGCAATTACTGTTGCTGTTAGCTCTGGCAGTCGAATTGTTTTTCGATCTTGGGTGGTTCTGCCTGAAACTGGAGACTGCTTCTTTTATTCACGGAGGTTACATTATTCAAGCGTCACTTTTGTCAAAACAGCCCCGGTGACAATGATAATCGAAACTAGACGTCCCAGCTCAGGAATCCAATACAGCTGACTTTATTCGATCCCTTTGTTCTGGAATGAAGTTAGATCTGTGTTATGTTTGGATTGACTGTTTATCTTACCAATCTCTGAGTGATGTGGGAGATTCTGGATTCCATTGTGATTCAGGAAAACACAGAGTGAAATGTTTGATGTCCAAGCAACTTCGGATCTGTGTAGAGAGTATGAGGCGCTAAGGACTATATTGAAAATCAGAACCTCAAATCTTTGGGCTACAAACAAATCAGCCATGATCCTATTTGTAGGATTGAGGTGCCGAAGGTTCTGCTCCTATTCTATATTATTAAACTGGAGGGGATTCAGAAAAGATTTACCAGGATGCTGCCAGGAATGGAGGGTTTGAGTTTTAAAATAGGCTGGATAGGCTGGGACTGGAGCGTTGTAGGTTGAGAGATGACCTTATTGAGGTTTATAAATTCATGAAGGACACAGATAAGGTGAAGAGCAAAAGTCTTTTCCCAAGGTGGGGGAGTTCAAGACTAGGGGGCGTTTTTAAGGTGAGAGGAGAAAGATTTAAAAAGGACATGAGGGGCAACTTTTTTACACAGACAGTGGTTCGTGTGTGGCTAAGTACATCAATAGGACAGGATTGGAGGGATATGGGCCAAACATAGGTAGGGAGGTCTAGTCTAGTTTGGGAACATGGTTGCCGTGGACTAGTTGGGCCAAAGGGTCTGTTTCCATGCTGTATGACTGTATGATTTTATATGCTTGTGATTAAAGGGATATATAATGAGAGATGACAGTAGACAGATTCTCCACATCAGCAGTGAGGACAGGTGTATGAACATCAGGATCCTTGAAACAGTGAACAGTACCAGTATCGAGGCCATGAGTATCTGAAACCAACCCTGCTGAGCCGGCCACATGTTTCGGATGCCTGAGTTCCAACAACCAAAGCAATTCCTCTTCGCCCAGCTCAAGCAAGGTAACTGAACGATAGGAGGACAAAGGAAGCATTTCAAAGATTCCCTGAAGAAATGGAACATAGAAGTTAATGTGTGGAAGTCTCTCATTCTGAAGAAACAGACGCAGAAGAAACTCCTGTATGATGGACACAATTCTTTGAGAACACCTGGCAGCAAGAGGAAGTACGGAAAAGGAACGAGAGAAACAAATGTCAATGATCTCAAGGCCAAGGACTAATTCCACCCCCTGGAAACACCTACTGAATGTGTGATCGCAGATGCAGCTCTAGGATTGGGTTCATCACCCACAGAACCCATGACCAGTAACACAGAGTTTCCTAGGTGGACAAACATAATCAGACGGATTGCTGATAATGCTGACATGAGAACAGATGACATTAGTAGGGTAAACAGACTGACTAGACCAAATGAACAGGAAGGTCCACAGTGAGACATTGAGAGAGATGATGGAGATCTGAAGAGTGTTGATGGGCAGTGGGTTCTCAATTCCTTACAGGGGCAAGGAAGGCTAGTCTGGGAAGAGCTGCTTTGAGTAAACTGGTCTCCATCTGGAGACAGAGATAGAGACAGATTCTTAGATTGCCTGGAGAGAATACAGTGAGAGGCATCCTGCCATTCATTGCTAATATAATGGGAATGTGAAAGAGGGCAACACATTGTCTGTGGTAAATCCAATATCGAACAAGGACAAAAATCTGGAAATGAAATGTAATGTTTCCAGCTGGGA